ACTGTCCTAATTAATTTAGGGCATAACTGCTAGTTTTGTACAAATGCGAACCCATAAAGGCACACACACATACAAAGAGATACACACTCACATACTTCGAGGATGAGATATGACTGGAACTAAGCAAATCATTTTATACCTAATCAAGGAGGCCAGATATAGATTATATATATACAGTTTTTAAGGATGCGCTGATTAGTTTTCTTGACTCGTTCGCTTTAATTTGGTTGTGACGATTTGGTTGTTGTTCTGATGATGCTCGTCATATGACGGACGAAAGCTTAGAGTGTTTTCACCGAACTTGAAGTAGATTGCCTCTCTAACGGGTTCGACAAGAATGTTCCGGTAAAGCCAATCGACAGCTTGTCATGGTGGAATCCGCCGTCGTGGGATCGGCTTTCGAATCTCTTCCCCAACTATTTTTAGGCGACCTCACAGTATTGCCTTCTCTTGTCAGTTGGCTGGACGTCATGAATATTGACGGAAAAATCTTATTTTGCTTTCATAAAAGCATCGTTTTACACAACTAAACGGAATTTCCACTTTACAGAGAAGAACTGATGCTGCGCGGCATGAAGCAGACGGCCGAGGCCGAAGCACTGGCCCTCTCGAGTGGGACGGCTGAGGATAAAACTGACCGAGGTCGTGGTGGTGCCTACGACCTGGACGACGAAGATGTCGAGTCGGAGAACCAAGGCGCCATCGAAGGAAACGATTTGCCTGACGAGGCGGCCGGAGGTACCGGCCTGGATGGAGGAGGTCTACGAGGAGGTCGCTCTCGAGCTCTACGCCTGGAACAGCGTTTTGGTCTTCCCGACCTTCGCGAAGATGAAGTTCACAAACAGACTCTGTGCTTGGAAGCCTATCAGTGCGCCCTTGTTCAGTTGAAACAAGATCATCTCGACCGTCGTCAAGGCCTGGTCGTTGGCATGCCAGCTGTACAGAGTCGCTGGGCGGCCTGGGAAGCTCTTAAGCGTATCGTTTATCACAGACAGTCCCAAGTTAATCAGTACATGGAGGCAATAAAACAAAGTGAGCTAATTAATAAATATCATAAGTTAGTAGGGTTTCGAGACTACCAGTAAATCAGTGTAATGAGATGTATTCACCCTATTTCGTGTA